AAGAGTGATGATGATGGTGGTTGTGCAAGCAATTTTCTGTTTCTCATTATCGACTGCATTAGCGGAATATTCGCGTGCGATATTAGGACCCAATGTAAATTAACTGGATTAAATGCGTCGGCCGATTGCATCAATCTCATTAAGCGGAGCGCATAATGTTTGACGAGAGGCTGGCTGGCGCGAGCGTAGGCGGTCGGTCGGTAACGATGTTTGGGGATGCTCTGATAATTATCAAATCCCTCGGCGTTGTTTGTGTCGAACAAATCGAAAATAATAGAATACGGACGGCCCTTGCCACCATCCTTTTTCGGGATCATTATTGGGTGCTTTTCGTTGGGAGTTTTGGGAGCTTTCATTGGAAATTAGGATGCTTTGGTTGCTCTTCTCTTTCTTTGGCAAATTTCAGTATTTAAAAATTTTCAACTCTCTAAATTTTCAAATTCGTAATTGTTGCATTCCCCGAGGTTTCTAATTTCTAAAATCCCAAATTCCAAATACCTCGGATCCCCACATTCCCAAATTTTCAACTCTCCAAATTTCCAAATTCACAAATTCTCAAATCTCCAATTCCTGCATTCCCCGAATTCTCCAATTTCCAAATCCCTCATTCTGAAATTTCCAAAACCCCAAATTTCCACCCTTCCAAATTTCCACCCCTCCAAATTTCCCAATCCCAAATTCCAAATATCCTCTGACTCCACGTTCCCAAACTTTCACTCCCCAAATTTCTAAATTCCCAAATTCTCAAATCCCCAATTCCTGCATTCCCCGAATTCTCAAATCCCCAATTCCTGCATTCCCCAAATTCTCAAATTTCCAATTCCTGCATTCCCCGAATTCTCAAATCCCCAATTCCTGCATTCCCCGAATTCTCAAATCCCCAATTCCTGCATTCCCCGAATTCTCAAATCCCCAATTCCTGCATTCCCCGAATTCTCAAATCCCCAATTCCTGCATTCCCCGAATTCTCAAATCCCCAATTCCTGCATTCCCCGAATTCTCAAATCCCCAATTCCTGCATTCCCCGAATTCTCAAATCCCCAATTCCTGCATTCCCCGAATTCTCAAATCCCCAATTCCTGCATTCCCCGAATTCTCAAATCCCCAATTCCTGCATTCCCCGAATTCTCAAATCCCCAATTCCTGCATTCCCCAAATTCTCAAATTTCCAAATCCCTAATTCCCAAAATTCCAACACCCCAAATCTCCACCCTCCCAAACTCCCGAATCCCAAATTCCAACTACCCTCCGACTCCACATTCCCCAAATTCCACTCCCCAAATTTCCAAATTCCCAAATTCTCAAATCCCCAATTCCTGCATTCCCCAAATTCTCAAATTTCCAAATCCCTAATTCCCAAAATTCCAACACCCCAAATCTCCACCCTCCAAAACTCCCGAATCCCAAATTCCAACTACCCTCCGACTCCACATTCCCCAAATTCCACTCCCCAAATTTCCAAATTCCCAAATTCTCAAATCCCCAATTCCTGCATTCCCCAAATTCTCAAATTTCCAAATCCCTAATTCCCAAAATTCCAACACCCCAAATCTCCACCCTCCAAAACTCCCGAATCCCAAATTCCAACTACTCTCCGATTCCACATTCCCCAAATTCCCACTCCTCAAACTTTCAACCCCCCAAATTTCTGCACCCCAAAATCACCACCTTAATCTCCGAATACCCAAATCATCAACTTCCCAAATACCTTTCCGTTTCCTCAAAGAAAGAGCAGCGCAAAACGCCGTAATCGCACTAACAAGTAGTGAATTGGATTAAATTGAAAAATTGAATAATCGCGTGTGTGTCACTTGAGGTGACAGATGCGCAGAAATCCCGCACGATTTCGTCTAACAGATAAAATACTACGGAGAAAATGAAATCGATTATTCAACAATTTAACAAGCTGCTTAGCGACTTTCTTATCGGAAGGTTGTGGTTTGTGGAACATCGAACTTGTATAATTCTGCAAACCTGATTGGTCATTGAATCGGTAATTTGCGGTGATGGTGGGAAGCGACCGCCGAACTTCCAGAATTTCGATCTCTCGGTACAGGTCGCTCTACGGGCTTTTCTATTGAAATCCACAATCCGGATATTTGCACTTCTCTAATGTTTGACTTTTGCTACCGTAACCGTACTTCAAATGTTCGAAGAAATAAACTCTGCAACTTTACATGAAATATTGAGGGATAAGGTCATCTTGTGGTTTCTGAGGCGATTGCTTAATAGTGGCTTCAAAGATATAACAAATCTGAAAGATAATTTAGGTGTAAGGTAAAATTTTCTTTATAATTTTGGGGTATTAACCCTTTGCACTCCGAAAGTTTATCTTGCCATTTAAAATGTTCCCTCAAAGAGGACAGCAGAGTGCAAAGGGTTAAGATGTAAAAGCAGAGGCAATAATGACATAAAGAGGTATGATGTTACATTGTTATTCTGAGCTGCCATTTTGTCTCTTCTGTTGTCTCTTCTTCTGTTATATTAATACTTGAACCATAGTATCATTATGTTAACTTATGTTAATACTTGAAATTGTGAAAAAAATTTGATAGCATAGATACGTTTGAAAATGTTTTTTATGTTTGATAAAAAACATATGTCCGATACGTTTGATACTTTTATAAAAGACATTATGTTTGGTACTTTTGAAGAGAGCCACTTTTGAAGCAAGCTGTAGGTGATTTATCACGATGTATCATTGGTATCTTGGAGACTGTGATATTAAACGTAGGGAACGTTCAAAGATTAATGCGTTTGTTCGATCGATGCAAATTCGTGTTCCATTTTTCCAAGTACGCTCCAAGGCAGAATCGAGGTTCATTTCGCAAGAAGAGATGGTCGATCGTGAAACGTGCTCGAAAGGAGAAAAGGATTCACGATTCGACCGCGGGGCATCTGATTGCTGTCACAATGAGCTTATCACCCCTATCAGGCTAGAGTAATCCTTAAGAGCTATGTTTCACCTTATGGTTACGCTAAATACGCTGCAATTTCACTTAGGTACAAGTTACGGCGTCTAAGGTGCTAATCGTTCAATGTCTCTAACCGCTAGGTGGCGACTACCGAGGAAACGAACGGAAAATAAAAAATGAAATTAAGAGAAGAGGAAAAAGAACGGTTCCGTGGCTCGTTAATTCGTCGATCTCGCGACGACGTTTACTCGTCGAGAAGCCTAACGAAAGTCGATCGATCGATCGATCGGAACGATACCTCTTCTCCGAGAAGGTTGTTGAAAAGGAGCGTCTTTCGCTCGATTAAATGGACGCCTCTGAGAGAGGAGCCTTTGATCCACCGCATACCGCGCGGACATTTTCTCTACGCTTCGATATTTTCCTCTCGACGAAAAAAGGCCAAGCCTCTTTTCACTTTTCTCTTCCTTTTTTTCCTTTCTTACGCGAGCTTTTTCAAAGAGGGGTTTTTTGCGCGACGCTTTCGAGCGTATAACGCCAGCTCTCCTTATATCCCACGATTTTAATGAGCTTTTCAACCATAATAAATTATACTATTATTAATGTCCCTGTATTATGCACATTGTACTCCATGCTGTTTTTCGCGGTTTACAAATTTTACCTTGACATAAGGAAATCAGGAACGTAAGGCTACAGGGACATTTTGTATAATTTTTTTTCAATTTTTCAGTTCTCTAAAATTTCTTTCTTCATTCAACTCAATCATTTAAAAAATTAGCTTTCTGCGCTAACTTGTGTCTTTCATAAATTATAGCAATTTCAATTATTGAAAGTTTGCAACATTTTGTAGTCTCCATTCTTATTTTCAAATTTATCAACATTTTGGAAATTTTAAATCAATAATTTCTACCCCAGATACCTCAAAGAAGTCCATCTATTTTTTATGACTACGGTAATTTGAATTATTACATTGTCCATCTTGCACCATCTAGCGGCGACATTTCAAATCTACAAAGCGCGGGAAAATATTCAAGTTCGAAATGTTACAATCAAGAATTAACATACAGTCAATTAATGTACAATCAATATTCCTTAAATTGTAATGATTGTTCGTTACAAATTAATTTTGTAAATTACAAGTAAATTGCTTTTGTTCATTCGCATAATTTGTATAAATAATTGTGAAACGTATTTGCAAATTTTGCTTTCAATTGCACAAGGAAATTGAATTGTTTACTTCATTTTCGACAATTATCTGTGTGAGCTGTAATTACAACTAAAACCATAATGTCATTATCTTTGAAATTACCATATTCACTGGGAGCCATGTTCATGAAACATGTCACGGTCAGGGCCGTACATATAGCTTTCCAGGCCCCGGACATATAAATTCACAATTTTAGGGTTGTATTATCATAGCTTGAAATTGCACAATGTATGAAAATACTAGATCTATAGGCTCAATTATTTAAAAAAATTAAAAGCCACAGTAGTTGAGATTACTTTAACAGTTCTAGTAACTCTAGGGCAGTTTTAGAGATCCTAGAGATCTGTTCATCCCTGGTAAAAATGCAAAAGCTCATTAAAATGAAGGACATAATTTTGTACCTCTCCTTGTCAGAACCATCAAGGAATAGAAATTAGCAGAACCTTGAAAGTATAAAAATAGAGAGGGTAAAAACAGGAGGGTGGAGAAGAGAAGGGATCGATTTGGGATAAAGGAATCTGTGGCTACGGGGATTTTTCTTTGTTACGAGCGGAATTTCCAAGGATCACAGGCCCATCCTCGTCCGCGTCGTAAACTGAACACGAAGGAAAGCGTAACGGCGTAAAAACTACGTTGACCGCGATTGGAAAAGTGTTAAAATAGCGATTGGCTTCTTTTATGCTTCACTTCTCTATTCGCTTTCACGCTTTTCTTTCATTTTTTTATCTTTTTTTTTCTCTTAGCGTCTCTTTCTTATTTCGCTTCGTTCGTCGTCTACTGTTGCGTACTCTTCTATCGCGTGCCTCATTGCTCTTTCATCCCCCATTTTTTTTTCTCGTCTCCTCTCGTCACTCGGTTCGGGTTAATTATTACAAAGATGCGCTTGTACAATAATATAATATAGACTCTGTATTAGTTACAATAATATCGTAGCGTTCTATCTCGCGATCGATCGGTCCGTATCCACTTGTCTCGGTTTCTCTCTGTCCTTCCTCTTTTCGCTGTCACGAAAATCCCCGATTGGACAAACCAATATAATAGAACATCTCTGGTATACAACAGCTTCTCGTGACACGCAACATCCTTCGTACACGGTTGAGCCGTTGCGTGAGTTTATTGCTTACGTTAGCGCCTCGAAGGTCTGCGGAAAAATTCCTTCGGTCTCGGGTTCGCATCTTTCAAATTGACCACTCTCTTATTCGACTACTACCATCTTGATGGAAGAAATTCATTAGTCACTATTACTTTACTACATTTATTCTATGTCAAATTAACATGGTCGTTAACATTGTGTGTGTACAAGACACCCTTTCTGATCGACTCAAGTGACACTACAGAAAATATTTACGAACAGGTCGAATTCGTAATTTACCTTCCGTCAGAAGCTACTTTTGCAGTTTTTAAAATGTACTGACGCCATCTTTTGTGCTATAAACGCGTTGTAGTGTGAAAGCACCCGTAGATCTAAAGCGTCCATGCTCGTGGCGCCCTCACAGTCGCTGCTTTCACACTATGTACTCTATAGCTCGTCGCAGTGTGTAAACACCCATTCAATTCAATGTTTCAGTACCTGTATATACCTACATTTGTGGTACAGAAAGTGGCTAACTCGCAATAGGTTTTTTAACCCTTTCATTATGGCGTCCAAAAAATCTGTAACCTGTAATTTCAATCGTGTACACAACGAAAGGGTTAAACATACATGAAGCTTGTAATTCGTTAAAAATATTTTATTTCAATCGATAGGAATTTGCAAGAAATAAAATATCTGACACAACCCTTTTATTCTTCCGGTCGAACAAGTGGCCAATTTGTCTCTCAATATTCTCGATACATCGCCTTTCAACTTCCCGCTGTTCCATCGATAAATCTACGTTCGAATAATCGTTTCCGAAGGAATCTTTCCTCGAGACTTCTCTTCGACGCGTGGTAAAGAAAAACGAAAACGACCAATATCATAGTAAGGAAGATTCAGAGCAAATCTGGAAGGAACGTAAAAAAGAAAGGGGAATTTGTGGCTCTGTTACGACGGCACGTGGAATCCATCACAGTTACAATTTTACACTTTACAGGTTCGGCCGTCTGGCCGTTAGTTCTTCCCCTTTCGATTTATTTATCGTCTCATGACAATTTATATTCATTACTTATTATGTCAACGATTTAAAGAAATTTATGATTCATAAAACCTGTGTATGTTTTAATAATTTGTTTGTAAAAATTGGAACTTGTTCAAGAATATTGAAACTGAAGATATATTACGTTCCTCGCATGAAGACTTCGTCTATCAGATAATTATGTGATAGTCGATATTTATTTATGAAATGAATTATAAGATGTATCAAGTTCTCCAGAGAAAAAAATGTACCAAAGATTTGAAGAATAAAATTTTCTGTTAATATGATACAAGTCATGTGACGATCCTCACATGAAGACTTTGCCTATCAGATAATTATATGATAGTCGATATTTATTTATGAAATGAATTATAAGATGTGTCAAGTTCTTCAAAGAAAAAAATGTACCAAAGATTTGAAGAATAAAATTTTCTGTTAATACGATACAAGTCATGTGATGCTTCTCACATGAAGACCTCGTCTATCGGATAATTATATGATAGTCGATATTCTGTTATGGAATGAATTATAAAATGTACCAAGTTCTCCAGAGAAAAAAATGTATCAAGTTCTTCAGAGAAAAAAATGTATCAAGTTCTCCAGAGACAAAAATGTACCAAGTCCTCCAGATAAAAAATGTACTCCAGAGATAAAAAGTTCTCGAAAAATGTACCGAAGATGAAAAATGAAATATTCTGTAAATACGATAGAAACGAGAAGACCGAAAGCTATAATTGGTCGGTAGTTTTTCGAGCGTTGCCACGTATCAACAAAATATCACCTCATTTCCGGGCGATGTTATTCGTATCACAACTTGATTTTCCCGTCGCGGTGAAACCGTGGTGGCATTTATTGAAATCGATAAACGGGCTCGGGACTGTTAAAAGCGGAACGGGTCCGAGGAACACCGATATCCTGGAAGTGGCGATGAAAATAAATTTAGCTGCCGTTTGAAATTGCCCATCGTTGTCCGTTCCCTGGATGGAAGTTAATTGAATCGTTGAAACGGCCGGTGTATTGTTCTTGAAATACCAGAAATATTTGCATTAATATTTAGCCGTTTTCAGAATCTCTGGCAATCGATAGAACGTTTCATATCGAGAACACCGGATATAACTCAGAGGGTAATCTGCGATCGTGGCAACAAATTATTGTCGATATAATAATAAAACTAAAATCGGGGTGAGTCGCACTTGATATCTGAACGTTATCCATCGCTCAATTATTGCGTATCTCCTGTTTCCTTTAATCAGTCAATTTCTAGATACGTGCATTTATAACAAACTGAAAAAAAGCTTAGTGCCTATATTCAAACGTTTACGAAGCAAATATTTCTACCCGCATATGAAAACATAAGCAAATGAAACTTCAAAGTGTCTCCTTTTTGCAAGAAATGTAAGCTGGAAAAAGTTTAATTTCTGAATTTATAACTCCATTAAACGAAACAGTTTTCTTGTTTATTTGAAAGGAAAACACACGTTGGAAAATGAAAAACATGATAGCATTCGTTTAAACGTTTTTAAATTTCAAACCCATGTTTACAAACAGTTTTTATATTGCTTTTACACAGCTTTTACTGGACTGAACGATATAGTCTTTTTGTATATCGAGTCTGACGTTCCGGTACAGAAGTAAAACCATAGGAATCGGATGTATGGAATTCGTGGATGAAACATTTTTCGATTAAAAACGCAATATGGAATTTATGGACTCTGAATCTTCCTTAATGTCTCTCTTCTCTCCTTTCTTCCAAATAATTCTACTACTCGAGTCGATTGTATTGCATTGAATTATCTCTCTAACACTTTGACACGCTCTTCTCCGTGTATACAGTTGGTGTCAATATGGAGACGAATTTAAACTCTTGGATAAGTACTGTAAAACACAGGGTCGCAATTAGTGTAGGTCCTTGAAATGGGAGGTAGCTGATGTGATTCTGAATAATATTTCCCTTTGCAGAAATGGGGTGCGAAGCTTCGTTTTTGAATTATTAAGGAAAAACGCGGACCAATCAGAGCGCGATGCGCTCAGGCGCGATGCGCTCAGGCGCGAGACAGCTTCGAATCTATTGGCTGAGACGCGTGCGCAGACGCGAGAGCGGCAGCTTCGAGCCTATTGGTTGAGACGCATGCGCAGACGCGAGAGCGGCAGCTTCGAGCCTATTGGCTGAGACACGTGCGCAGACGCGAGAGCGGTAGCTTCGAGCTTATTGGCTGAGACGCATGCGCAGACGCGAGAGCGACAGCCCCGAACCTAATGGCTGCGCGGGTGTAATCCTCGCGCTCTGATTGGTCCGCGTTTTTCCTTAATAATTCAAATACGAAGCTTCGTATCCCATTTTTGCAAAGGGAAATTTTATTCAGAATCTCGTCAGCTACCCCCCATTTCAGGGACCTACAGTTATGAGACTATATACTTGTATACTTCGATTTAATCCTTCAAAGAAACACTCTGTAAGAGTCGATAACACGTCAACATTCTTCATTTTCTTGAAGGAATTTCCTCGGTAAAACAGGACCAACTTATACTTTGATGTGTGAATGTATTCAAATTTATACGAAAGTTGCAGAAACTAGTTTACAGAAATTATCTAAGAATCTAAATTCATCTGTAGTCTCTCACCTTTCGCGATCGCTCTCAAAGAACGTTTTACCCGGCAGCAATTTTCACCTGTACAAGTGGAGATCATTCAATAATTTAAAAGGCAAACGGTCGTAGTTAGAGAACAGCCATTTCTAAAACATATATTGTTCTTGTTAAATATAGACAATTGTTTGATCAATGGATATTCGTGCTTTTTAATTAACTTCAAATATTAGATGAATAAAACACTGTTATTTTAATTTTGAAGATATCGACGCAGTCCGAAGTCATTCGCTGAGGTTAGACCTGGCTAATTTGTTTTCCAACTCCTCTGTTAAAAATTTCTGAATTCGAGAGTTCGGAAAAGTTTGTAAATGTCCAAAAGTGATTGAAAAACCAATTAAGTAACGAAACAATAGTTTAATTACGAGAAAGGGATTATACCGAAAAGCTCACAAATTGTTACATTCATCGGAGAAAACCATTTGAAAGCTACTTTTGTTTGTCTCTATTTATTGAATGACCCTCGTATTTTGAATAAACCCAAACTATCGAGCATTTTTTATTTCGAACGCTCGAAACATCGCGAACGAGCGACGCCATTGTCCATTCCTTTTTTTGTTTGTAATCGTATACGATAGAAAAATAACACAAGCTTCGTTAGCCGGAAAAGCTTTGAAATACGTTTTCTCCTTCGCCTCTTATCGTCGGTTGGCTATTAAAACAGCCAACGGCTATTACAGCTATTATATAATAGTTACGGCATACATTCAGCTATAACACGGCTAACAGCCCTTTGTAGCTATTACATAACAGCTGCAGAGCAATCAACCTTTAATATGTTCGCTAATATTTTGCGTGGTAATTGAATTTCGCCTGGGGCTTGTCTGCGTTGCCCAAAAAACCCATTCGAGGCGAGTTTAGATCCAATCGGATGGAACTGCATCTGTTTGCTTATGGATTTAACATTCGACACTATGGCTTCCAATTACCACTCTGATGATGTTCGGGTTAATTCGGACTTAAACCTGAAGTACTTTCTTTCTTCAGGTTCTGCGTCACTTTATCTTGTCTTAAATTAGCAAGAAATTAAAGGGTAAGGAACAATGTAACTGTTGAACATCCACGTAAAGAAGGTACATAAAAAGATCAACCCTTAAATATCTGCAGCCAAAGTGTCGATTAATTCGAGTCGATTAAATCGTTTTGAAAATGTACGAATTCAGTTTGGTTGTGGAGTGAAAGCTTCGCGAATGTTTCGAGCGTTCTCGAGCACACTACATCTCCTTTATCTAAACAGTGTTATAATTACAGCTTACAAAATACACGATACACTCGCTGAACAGTGTGCTCGACGCAAAGAAAGAAGGGAATCCGATGCAAAACATATTTGCCGTGTAAACCGTTCTCCTCGCTTTCCCTTATTAAAGCTTATTCCCTACGTAGTATCTACCTTAAAAGATATCGACCACCAGGTGGGTCGATCGTCTTACTAACTAAAAAACGAGACTCAACTGTTCTCGAGAGCCCGATCGATCGTGCGCCGTAATCTCGCTCGTGATATGGTCTAACCATACAATAAAAAAGGAAATAAAAATGAAAAGAAAACGAAACGTCGTGTAATGTACTTCGTTAGCTTTACCTGATTTTTAATTAGCTAGTGCCTACGAGCTACATCGGTAAAAAAACCTACTGGCCAGGGGAAATTCGCGCTCGAATCACGAGCCCCCGCTACCCTCGAACTTCGTCCAGGAACAAACAGTTCCTCCTACTACTTCCGGAACTTCCTTTCAACGGCATCCTTTCTTCCAACCTTTTTTCCTCCTATCCAGAAAACGTTCATCTTGATCGGATACACCGACGACCTTCCATCCTCTTATTTCTCCCGTGTGTCGGTGAGCCTGGACGAAGCGGGACCACCTCTTACACGGAAAGAATCAAGAGTTTCGTCTGTTGTCTCTTTATTACAGACGAGTACAGTCGCTGTAGCTGGGTGTCGAATCGGAATCACAGTGTATAACCTGTCCTCTGGAAGGAACGCCAATCTCGACTAGACCACTCTCTTTGTTTCTTCAGGGTTGTCCTCTGTTTTTCTTCCGCGCCCGTTCAATGAAATAATCTGCTACGAGCACGAATTTCACCCGACGGATCAGAGAGGCTAGCAAGAGCTACGGACACGAGCGTTCGATCCCAAGGAATCGATCTCAGCTTCTCTTCGAGCAGTCTCTTCCCTGCTGGCCCGCACGCTCGACCGATCCTCTTCGGTGACTCGCGACCAAGGCGATTGTATATATATAATATATATATAGATTTTTTTATACACGTGTACCACCTTGTTTCGTCACCCAAGCACGGTGTCCAGTAATGTAGATTACAAAGGTTGGTTTAACGGTCGCGAGATCGTTCCGTTCGATTAGAATCACCTGTATATCGCGACGACCGCCGTCAGGATGACGATCATCAGGTACGTCGATCGAGCAACGAAGCCCCTGTTCTCTTCCATGCATTGACCTGTAACAATTTTACGTTTCTTTATACCCGAACTTGACTTCAATAATAATTCAAGAATTCTATCTTTGAAATCTTTACGAAAGCATACTAAATGAAAGTTGAACAGTGCATACTCTAACTTCTAATGTTTAATTAGATACTTCAAAAGGTTGTTCATGATTTGCGAAACTAAGGTAATTTTATATAAAACAGTGAAGAGATGTTTGAAAATGTCTATCACGGTTTGTTAGCCAAAATTACAAAGTGTAAGTGGATGCACTGCGTCGTTTGGTAGAAACGTCTAGACTAGACAAAGTGGTCGAACACAAAACAGTTAGGTTCGCGAAGACTCGGTAAGGATGCTCGAGAACTCGAAGTGGTTGAGAAGGAAGAAGAGGGAGAAGACGAGGTACTCACCGGTGCTGGTAACGTTGAAGGCCAACATCGGAGGCGGCGGGGGTATCCCTCTTTGACAGGCCACCTCGCTGGCAGTCAAACTGACAACTCCGCCGCTTTCTTTGTACATGAAGCACAATCTACGGCTGTTCCTATAGGGTTGAGGTCTGTTGTTCTCGTTGGTCCAGGTGGTGCCTGGCGCCAGTTGGGTGGCGATCACGAACTGGGTGCCCTCGGCGTCGAACCATCTACCGTGGCACGAGTAAGCTGCGAAAGAGAAAGCGGCCGTCCTCCTTACCCGAACTCCAACGGAACGAACCAACTTTCAGGATAATGGTGGGAGGTATCTCGAGCCGCTCGTTACCCCCTCGAGTGCCATTATCCTTTAAATAAACTTTGACAAGCTTCGGGGCTGAATGCCGGCGAAATAAAAGCTCGACTGCTGTTACGATCAAACGGATCTACAGGGTGTCTCGCTGCGAAATGCTCGCTGACGGGACCGCGGCGATTCTGGACGCGAAAACCGAGCGAGCCATCGGGTAATGCACTTTTGCTGCGGGACCCTTTGCTCATTATAATACAGTAGCAGAAGAATAGTTTAATGGTTCTTTGCAGTGCTTTCAAGGAGTTGTTGGGGTCATTCAAATGTACTGGGTCGAAAACAAGTAGAGCCAAGAGCTTTTCACTACTTACTTTAGACCTTGAAGAATCAAACATGGACTCTTCAACATTTAAATCTCTTTCAATTTTTAAGTTACCGTGTTAGCTTATTAAACGGAGTTGCTGGAGTTTTTACTCGCATTTTGCGAGACACCCTGTACACTGCACGGCGCTCTATCGTTAATGCGATTTTAATTATCGACGAGTCTCGAGACTTCCTACTCTTGATAATTCAGACATTTCGGACGTCGTTGAATGGATTGCGATCCTTGAACGGATTTTAACCCTCGGATGGCACCGCCAAGGTCTATCGTGACCCAACCCTGCGATTCTCTCATCAGATATCAAACGGGGTTTGAATTATTGCGCCCTTAAATTCTCCGTGCAAGATACTGCGTCTTGTGAGGAAAATTCGAATTTAAACGATTGTGAAATGAAACTGGAATTCTAGAATATGTTATTTATAAGTATGTTAACACTGCAGAAGTGAAGGATACGACTCATTAAAATATACCTGCGAAGGAAAAAAGGGAACTGTTTTGCCTATCACACGGCGATAATTACTTATGCGTGTCAAGTACAGTAATGGTCGAACGCAGGCGATGGTCTAATTAAGGTAACTCCGTATAAATACCTTTCGCATTTACAAGATAACCGATAAAAGGTATCTTAGAAACCGCCATCCGAGGGTTAATATCATGTCAGACACCTTTACTGTTTTACCTTTTACTCCACGTATAGAAATTTGTTCGAACAACTGTCACATTTAATTTATCACATTACGTCTTAAAAAATGTCAAATATTCTTTAAACGTTTTAAAATAGAAGTTCTTAAAATTATAACTAGTAAAAGGAACGCGTAGAGATTAATGAGCTAGAGAAGATGAAGCCTGAACTTTCGATGGAGTTTGGTGTACAGTAAAGATTAAAAAACAATCCAACTTCTCGAATACAGTAAAATTCTATTAAACGTTCATTATCTAACCAGCAGAGCTAAATATTTAATACCACAAAGCAAATCAAAGTTTCGATCAGGCTATCGGATAAAATTTGAAACATTTCTAAGACGATCTTCAGATCAACCAGATAATTTTTTCCAAGAGATGTCACTCACCAATCGCGTTGTCTTCGACGCAGTCCGTCTGGAACTCCATTCTGTCTGCGGTAGAGCACCCAATGGTGATAGTAGTGACTTCGGAGCTGCATCTCGAAATATCCTCCTCCCTTTTCTCTCTCTTTTCAAAGGAACCATCGTCCAACTCCTCGACGTCTCTCCTCGTCCTACCGAGAACCTCGTACGTCATTTCCTGCAGGTCGGACCTCTTTTTGGGGAGGTCCGCAGTGTCCGGGTAATCGCCGAAGTAATCGTCCTGAACGTCCAGGATGCTCGATCCATCGTCGTCGAAATCGGTCGTCCAGAATTGCCTGATTATCGCGAAATCGTCCGCGTCCACCCGGAAATCCTCCATTTTCGGGCTTCTCTTCGTTTTCTTGCGCGTTCTTTCAAGGTCTCGCGTCTTCCTGACCTTCGACCTTGTAGCAATCTCGGTCGTTCGTTGTACGTCCGATCTTCTCACCTTCGACCACGAGCGCTCCAGTAAGAGGTCCTCGATGTCCAGACTACGCTTCGAGGACGCTTCTTCGAGGCTGTGATCTCGATGACTTCTGCTGTTGCGATTCGACCTGGCTCGTCTGCCCATTCGCTCGTGGACCAAGTACTCGTTGTTCGCGCGACGTTTCTCCGCCTCGAAATCCAGCTTCCGGCTTCGGCGGTCCTCCTGACTACGCTCTTGGGCGTGTCGAACCTTCTCCCTGTCGCGTCTCACCCCGTCTTGGTGCTGGTTTCTACGACTCTCACGGATGTTACGCTGGTTTCGGTTCACGCCGGTTACTGTGAACTTGCCGAGGTACGGGCAGTTGCGTGGCTCAGGGGAACTTGCTGAAATTTGGAAAGATTGTTGTCTTTATACACTTGGAAAAATATTGGAGCAAAGAGCTTATAATATAGTGGGGATAAATATGTGGGGTACAGTAAATGCATTTTACTGTATACGATGCTTTTGTATGGAATAGTTGTTCGACATAATACATATTACATATGAAATGAAACATTGGAGTAATTGTTCGATAATTTCTTATATTTGGGGCTCAGTAAGCAGACAATTCTATCGTACAATGATTGCTTTGCAATGAACGAAATTATTGTTATCGCTTCACTATGTATCTTGAACCTCTTCAAGATTTAACAGTAGCAATTTATTTTAACCAACATGGGTAGCTATTTAACGATCACACCTATCTAACCAACATGGGTACCTATTTAACGATCACATCTATTTAACCAACATGGGTACCTATTTAACAATCACACCTATTTAACCAACATGGGTACCTATTTAACGATCACACCTATCTAACCAACACGGGTACCTATTTAACAATCACACCTATTTAACCAACTTGAGTACCTATTTAATTTGATCCCAGCCTTATTAGAACGATTGAAATGTTCAACCTAAAGCAATAGCAGGATCTAAAGAATAAAAAGTCGATCCCAACAAACAATTTTTCCGTAAATCCCCCACGTTCAACGTGTTTGTTTAGCATTTTGGATACTTGCCCACCACGTCGTCTCATTAAGCCCGAAAATAATACCGTGGCGAGTAGTGTCGAAATGACGAAGATGGAAGACGGAAAGCCAGAATTCTGTCGGAGAGCTTCGGCAAGACAGCGAGGAAGAGGTTGTTGCCAAGCGGAGGAAGAAGAAGCGAGTGGCCCGAGGGTGCGACGTCAGATTTGTCTCGTTAGGCTTCGCATTGTGCCTGCCTATGGCCGATTTACGCTCTCTCGTTATAGTCATCCGTTTTCTTCTTCTGTGTATTGACAAATCTTTGCCTGTCTTTCTTTTCCTATTATCTTTTCTTAAAATCACAATGCGATTTTCAATGACTCTTGACGTATCTTGATATGATCGTTTCAGAAGACCAATATGGGTCTAAAGATATGTTATGCTATTTAATGGATAACAGTTATTGTTATGATGTTGAATGATGTTTAAATGACACTTTTAATACATGATTATTAACCCAACAGTAGAATTAAGATGCAATTTATGGAGTAAAAAATTAATTTGCAAAATATACATTTTTATTTCCATATGTCATATGTATTTCACGCTTCACATATGTGTACATATGTCCTGCATTGTGTAACTCGAATAAATTTTCACATCAGCAACCATATCTATTACTGTCCCTATAATGTATACCTTTAATTGTTTCTTTATTTGAAAAACGAACAGAACTTCATTGTTAATACGATAAATAAGTACCAGCAGTATTATACGTGTCCTCATATATTTTATACACATATTTCTCAACGTCCACAGTTTTGAATAGCAGCGATATCATTCACGATCAGAAAACAGAGAGAAACCGTTTTAGTTACCGTAGAAACAAAGTTACAGTAAAAGGCTTCTTTGGTCCCTGAAAAGGTCCATTCTCCTTTCAACGCGTGACACGATCGGGAAATCAATTTCGATGTTCGTTTCGATAAAGTTGCCCGCTAAAATCTCGTTATTTTTATGGTTAATTAGACATGTATTATCGGAGGGACGGGGCCAAAAAGCGGAGTTCGAGGCAGCCAAAGGAGACTTGATTTTTCCGACTCGTTAGGCGATTCCCGATACGAAGGTCCTGGCCAAAAGGGAACGGGAATAAGGGCCGAGGATCTCCGACCCACTCCTCCGCCCCTGTTTCGCCTCTTTGTGTTTCGATCGGGGCGAACAAATCGTGAATTTCGACGATCGTTAATTACGTTCGTCGAGCGAAACTTTCGACAATGTATTGCGGAATTGCTGCCGGGCCACGAATTTCAATGGCAAAGTAGCAAAGTTCCATGAGTGGTTGCGCTGTAACTTTCTACTTTTCGTTCAATTTCAGCGAGCTTTGTTACGCCCGTGTCGTAGAGAATGCCCTTCCATTTAATATACCCTCTCGTACGGTGCAGAATTAATAATTATAGCCGAGGAATTTTCAACGGTAATTGAACAGGGCGTTCGATTAATCGGCTTTTTATTTCAAATTAATATTACATTTTCGTACGGTTTTAGTATTAATACCCTCACGGTTCTTTTCGAGCTGTTGGAAATATTTTATATTTGAACCTTTTTATATTTGATTACTTTCATTAATGCCTACACAAAGATTCGTATATGGTATCGACACATGTTGAAGCAAAAATACGAAATATACGATAATTCTCACTCTGCTGAACGTTGGACCGGTGCAAACTCTTTTGAATTTCATAGACTTTTAAAGAAGTGAAAAAATATTTCTGTGTCGTTAAAAAGAAGACTGATGATTCGTAGAGAGGAAATAATTTATATCAGAGATGCAGATGAATTTCGCATCTCATCAACATCGAAAGAGGGGTACGGAATTAATTTGCACGTATAATGCGTTACGAAAGATATAGCAGGTGGCAGGGGCGTTTTGGATGACCTAATATTTCCACGACCATTAAAGTGTTAATTTTGTTTCGATCGTGCTCCCATACCGTTCCAATTTTACGATACCGCGCGTGCGAATAAATACTCGTACCGGAAACCGGGCCAAATATCCATCAGACGTCGAATTACAGGTTCGTGTTCAAGAGCCCTCCGACAGCTTCCACGGCAAAAGTTGCCGGAACAATTAAATTTAATTGACGGTCTCTTGGCGCGAATCGCGTGTCGATGCCGTTTTCGACGAAAAAAAAAAAACTACAGAAACGGATGCGTTATCAGCACCGTGAATCGAGTATCTACGTCCTTCTCGACATGAAATTTTGAACGCTTCAACTCAAATCGATCGATCCTCCAGAATTATTACTTTTGCTCGGATAAAAAAAATGTTCACGTGGAAAATCGTTCACTTTCCGCGGGTGCAATCTCGTTTCTTCTTAACGAATCGCTGAAAATTTAATTACACGATATTGGCTTTTCAGCAGAATACTCTACGCGACGATGTCCGAAGCGTGGAACAGAACGGAATGAAATTTTGCGTACCACAGACTGACTGCAATTTGTATTCAGGCAATAACGGAACAGGTATCTCGCAAGAGTCGAAATACTGACTATTAACTGGGCTGTTAATACCCAAAGTAATTTTAATTTTATTTGTTAACGAGTGTGTAATATGCTTTTGTATTAGATGAAACGAGTATAGTAACGCGGGGTTTGGTGTTCAAGTTGTAATGCAATACGTGGTAATTCAATGCGTGGATGTATAAAGAACAGAGATACAATTACTGGTAATGTAATATATGGAAATACAACGCGTTTCAGTGTATATTACCTGGTAATTCAATTCGTGATAATTTAACGAATAATAATTCAGCGTGTGGTAACCTAACGCGTGATAATCTAACGTGTAATAATCCAAGGTAGGCAAAGGCGTAGTAATCCAACGCGTGATAATTCAACGTGTTGAGGTGATCTACGCGAATGAATAAAAATATATTTGTGACGAAAGACTTTATTTATACAAAAGGCACGATGCCATAGCTTCGGCGGTTAGGTTAGAACCCCGTTGAGAAAAATACATTTTTAGAACGGGGCGAAACTATTTACAACTTAATGATTCGACGGATCAAAAGGTTCCAGACAAAATTCAGACCTCGCTTTCTACTCGGAACTTTCCTTGTCGCCACAGTGTAATGGTTTAGTGCGTAATAATTCGTTGAAAAATAATAGTAATGGTTCAGTGCGTAATAATTTGTTGGTTAAAGTAATGCATTGAGATATGGTACTTGGTAACCGTACGCATGGTAACTCTATGTATGGCAATATAACGCGGGGTAATTCTACGCATGCTAATCTTACATGTGGTAATCCAACACGTAGGAACCCAATATGTGGTAACCCAAAGCGTGATAATCCAACGCGTAGAAACCCAACGTGTGGTAACCCAATGCGTGATAATCCAACGCGTAGGAACCCAACGTGTGGTAACACAATGCGTGATAATCCAACGCGTAGGAATCCAACGTGTGGTAACTCAATGCGTGATGATCCAACGCGTAGTAACCCAATGTGTAGTAACTTAATGCGTGATAATCCAACGCGTGGTATTATAAGGCATAGTAATTCAACGGGTGGTAATCTAACGTGTGATAATCCAACGCGTGGTAACTCAACGCGTGGAAACCCAACGCGTAGTAACTCAACGCGTGGTAACGCAACGCGTAGTAATCTAACGGGTGGTAATCCCACGTGTGAGAATCCAACGCGTGGCAACGCAACGCGTAGTAACCTAGCGTGTGGTAACCCCATGCGTGATAATCCAACGCATGGTAATCTAACGCGTGGTAATCTAACACGTGGTAATCCGACGCGAATTAATTCAGCGGGTGGTAATCTCACGTGTGATAATCCAACGCGTGGCAACCCAACGCATGGTAACCCAACGCGTAGTAACCCACCGTGTGGTAACTCAACGCGTAGTAATCTAACGGGTGGTAATCTCACGTGTAATAATCTAACGCGTGGTAACGCAACGCGTAGTAACCTAGCGTGTGGTAATCCAATGCGTTATGATCCAACGCATGGTAATCTAACGCGTGGTAATCCAACGCGTGGTAATCCAACGCGTAGTAATTCAGCGGGTGGTAATCTAACGCGTGGTAATCCAACGCGTAGTAATCCAACGAGTGGTAACTCAACGCGTAGTAATCTAACGGGTGGTAATCTCACGTGTAATAATCTAACGCGTGGTAACGCAACGCGTAGTAACTTAGCATGTGGTAAACCCATGCGTGATAATCCAACGCACGGTAATCTAACGCGTGGTAATCCAACGCGTGGTAATCCAACGCGTGGTAATTCAGCGGGTGGTAATCTAACGCGAGGTAATCCAACGCGTAGTAATCCAACGAGTGGTAACCTAACTTGCAATAATC